ATATATATATATATATATTGATATATTTATATATATATGTTAGCCAAAGCTGGCCAAACAGCTAAACCAAATTGGTTGATGTTTTTCAAGAGAACCCTTGGGTACCCCAAAGGGAAACATAAACTAAGATTTTTTTATTTAAAGTTTTTTTTTCTACATATTTGGCGGGCAATGCCGGGCACTTCAGCTAGTTCTTTATATGCTCCTTTCCTTATTTTCATTTTTCTAACATCAATCTTATTTGAGCAGATTTATCTTATTTTTCAATTCTAATTTATTTTTATTTTTTATTATCTATTTTTAAAAATAAATATCCCGTTCCAAGTTGTCTTATTTTCTCTTTCAGCATCTTTTCTTTGTCTATATACACAACTATACTTTTGACACCTTAATAGCTGATCAATAATGTGAAAGAGATCGTCGTTTTTTAGCTTTAAAAGTGTTTAATTGTAATAATTTCATACATTTTCAATAGGTAGAATTGCGCAAGAGCAAATTTTTAGAAAAACTACTAATTACACAATACAAAATATGGACATCTAATGTATTATACTTGATCAGACAAAGCTATTAAGGATACCGTTGTGAATCGAACATGCCACTCTCTAAATAGAGGGTCACTTGAAATTCGGTTTCCAATCCCTTTCAGTGTATTGTTTTCAGCTGATATCGAGTGTGAGGTAGGATACACCTGTGAATATAAGGAAAACTTAAAATCATTTTTAATTTTTTCAAATAAAATTTCAAATTTAAATTTTAAAAAAAGTACTGTAGGTATCTGTTTTCTCTCATCATGAAAAATATCTTTAAAAACACAGAATAAAACAGTTAAATGTTTTTTAAAACAAATATTTAATGATTTTAATGGTATCTTCAGTGTAACGAAGACCAAACATTATTTAATAATAATTTGGAGAAGAAGTTTGCACAATTCAATCACAAGTAAGTTAGATTAATGATCAGACTAGAAAAACGCTACTTTCATAAAACGCTACTTGGAGTAAAACGCTACCTCATAAAACGCTACACTCATAAAATGCTACCAGCTAACACACTATATCTAATCATTATTTATCCTTCTTTGTTTTTAAATGTATTAATTAATTTGTTTAAAGGGAGTGTTCGCGAAAAATAAAAGGGGTATAGGCCTAATGCGATAAAAAAGCGCTTTTGATCGCTTCTAATCTTACTTCTATCTGTTGCGTCTATAAGGAGAAAATTGTTAAAAACGACTAATACCAAAGAAGGTAGTCTCCATAAAAATTCAGAAAGATGCAAAAAACGACTTAGACCGTAAAAAAATCTATTTTATTTCAAACAAATCATTCAGATATTACAACCTATAGTCATCGATTATCTTTCGCCACATTTGTATGTAGTTGATTTTTCATAATATATTTTTATTTTATTTTTTTTAAATAACATTTAGCTTCCAACTTGTTTTCGAACATTCCTTGAAAATATGAAAATGTCGTCTTCATTACCAAAAATCCTCGAAAATGTTTTTATGAGTAACTCTCAGATCATAACAATTAAAACATACTATGAAAAATCAACTATATATACAAATGTGGCGAAAGATAGTCGATGACCATAGGGTGTAATATCTGAATGATTTGTTTGAAATTAAATAGATTTTTTTACAGTCTAAGTCATATGTTGCATCTTTCTGAATTTGTATGGATACTTCGTTCTTCGATATTAGTCATTTTTAACAATTTTCTCCTTATAGACGCAACAGATAGAAGTAAGATTAGAAGCGATCAAAAGCGCTTTTTTATCGCATTAAGACTATACCCCCTTTCATATTTCGCGAACACTTCCTTTAAATAAACTGATCTATCTGATTATACATTTAGTTTGCGTAAGTTGTTTTCTTCAGAGTCTTGATTGGTTAGCATAAGCTGTTTTCATCAGATTTGTGATTGGTTTACATAAGCTGTTTTCTTTAGAGTCTTGATTGGTTTACATAAGTTGTTTTCTAAAGAGTCTTGATTGTTTAACATAAGCTGTTTTCTTAAGAGTCTTGATTGGTTTACATAAACTGTTTTCTTCAGAGTCTTGATTGGTTTACATAAGCTGTTTTCTACAGTGTCTTGTTGGTTTTCATAAGTTTTATTGTCGGGTTCTATTTTGGTTTGCATATGCTGAGTCTTGGTCGGTTTTCATAGGTTGTCTTGTAATGTTCTATGTTGGTTTGCAAGGCTGTTTTCAGTTTACACAAACTGGCGTGTCAGAAAGGTATTGTGTCGGTTTACATATGCTGGGTTTGCCAGGGTGTTGGATCTGAGATGGAATTTAAAGAATTTGAGCCGCGGTTTAAATCCGCCAAAACCTGGTTTAAATTAAGGGCCGGCTTAAATCTTGAAACATTTGAGACAATTTTAAGTGGAACCAAACATATTTAAACCGCGGCTTAAATTTAAACAGCCACTCAAATTCTTTAAATTCGGCCACTGGTTTTCAAATGACGAGTCTTAACTTGAAAGCTTATAGTCAGTTCATGTTGGCTGTTCTGAAATATCCATAAAAAACTAGCTTCTATGTTCTTATTCTATGCATATTAAGATAAATGATAAAGACAGTTTTTAACAAAAAGTAAATATAAGAATTTAAAGTATATATTCCTACAGGAAGACCCATAAAACTGTGGAATAGGAAGCAGTCTTATATGTGAATCTTATGTTGTTATACAGAAAATAGGTTTACTGGTGGTTTGAAAATCACGGGCAGCGGAAGTACATTTGAATTTCCGAGCAGGGTCAACCATTACAGTTCCAGTTTGTACTGTATTGCCCGGACATTAGGTAAATAAAGCAGACACTCAATATGACTAGCCGGTGCAACAAGGTTGACACGGTCAGACTTAAGGTTAAATTTACTTATACTAAAGGGTCAGAGGTGTGTGAATTAAAACTGGGTCAATTGCACAATTTCTGTGTTTCATGTTGATTAGACTTTTAATAATCATAACTTGAGTCTAACAGTCGTCTTCCATTTCCATAGTTTAATGGGTACCCCTGTACACAATGTTTTTAGGTGTTCAGAGAAGAGAAAGATTAAGAACTGTTGTATGCAACCTGGGGTAAATTCTCTACACCACTATTTAAACAAGTAAGAAAAGAATTTATCTATTTTTTATTCATTCAACAGTATAATTTATTCAACAATATAATTTATTTATTGATTTAATTGATTTATCTCACAATCCATTTGATGGAATTGTTTAAATTATTGATTATAATTTCTGGACACTGAAAATCAATGAAATTGATTTATTTATCAATTTTTTTTATGTCAATTGATTGATTTCTTTATCTAATAATCTATTTATTCATTAATTGATATGTTAATCCTTGTATTTATTAATTGATTTGTTTTAACAATTAGTTTATGTAATTATAAATCAATTTATCTATTTAACAATTGATTGATATTTTTATCCTTATATTATCAATTTATTAATTTATTAACTAAATTATCATTATTATCAATTTATTTCAATTAAGCATTAATTGATTTATTTATTTTGCTAATTCATCAATATAATTAGTTATCAAATATCCTGGAATTCAAACTAACGTTTGTTTATTTGTTTTTTACTTGTTTCAGAATGGCAGTAGTACACTTTCAACTGGGTGTCTGTGTAAACAACCCCTGTACTGCTGGAACCAGTTTGTTTGTAAACAATGACGGGAAACCTAAATGCTTTAAGGAAATCATTCAAATTTTTGTTGTAAAAGCAAAGAGAATAGAATATATATTAGAGTGGAATTTAGTCAATCCCTCGGTATGAATTTTGTCAGTCCCTTTCAGCCTGAAAGGGATTTCAAAGTGTACAAATCATGTAAACAAGCCTATTTCATCATTTGGTTTTCTTTAATATTAATTCCAGGGCCCAAAAGGTTATACAGCACAAATATGTGAAGTACACCTGCAGTATGGAAACAGTACAAAAAAATGGCCGTTTTACACTTTTTTCTAGTAAATTCCTCTCTAATATATATTCTATTCTCTTTATTATTATTATAATATAATACATTAAAACACATAAAATTACTAACAAATATTATCTTCTTTGCCAAAATAGGTTTACAAATAGTTTTTTTAAAAATAATTTAAATGTAATATATTTAATTCAAACCAACCTGCAAAACATTATTATTTCACTTCTAGTTTAACAATTGGAGTTGCTTACTACTAAACAATTACATTTTTCTATGTTACTTAAAAAAATTTTATGATTTTTTTTAGTTGAAAGATCGTTCGGTACTAAAGTGCACGAATCCTTTATCACTAGGTGAATATTATTTATGAATAAGTCCTCATGGGCGGTTTGGGACAAGCGTAAGGTAAATTATTATCTGTTATCCATTTTTTTTTATAAAATGACAAATAATAGTAATTTAAATAATAGTAAATTAAAGTATATTGCAGCTCAAATTTCGCCAAAGAAACTTATTGTTTTAACTTCAATTTACTTAAATATACTTAAAAGCATCTTTTTACAACCTGACGTTGTTTGATATTTATAAATAACGCCATCAGGATGCACATTGTGAGAGATTTGAACATTTAGAGTTGGCAATGTAACTACAACCTTCTTATTCTCATAATCTATGCTTAAACTTTAGTAGATCAGTTTCTTTAAAGGAACTGTACGCGTAATTTCAAGTGTCTATTTATGCAATATGCCTGATTCACAACAGTATCTTTGAAACCATAATCTGATCAAAATTGTGAAAGATACTACGCACCTCTGACCCTCTAGTAAAAGTAAATTCAACCTAAAGTCTGACCGCGTCAACCTTGTTGCACCGGCTAGCCCTGTCCATAGAGCTAGGTACAGTAAAAACTGGGACCGGAAAGGTTGACCTGACTTGGAAATTCAAATGTACTATGGCTGCCCGTGACAACGTAGTATTTCTGACACGAAAAGTGTTCAATTCATCGAGTTTCTCCATTTCTTCTTAGAAACAAGAAATGCGCAAGTCACTGTTGAATGGAGAAACCGCCATCTTTGCATGGAGGGACACTTGACATTACAGTCCCTTTAATATAGATGAGACGAGTAGTGAACTGGAGTGTCCATATCTGATACCACTTTCAATAAATACCAGATCATCCAGTAGTTGCTCAGGGTAAAAATAAATTTAATATTTATAAATAGTAATGTCTGTTTTTCTGTCTGTCTGTTTGTGTGTATGGCTATCCATGTCTCAGGACCGATTTGTATCCCAGTTTGATTGGAAAACTAAATCGAAGTAGAACCAAGGAAATGTTCATAGCCTGGCCACGCACCTCTGCCCCTTTTGTAAAAGTAAATTCAACCATATATGAAGCATAACGTCTGTCCGCGTCAACCTTGTTGCACCGGCTAGTCCTGGCCATAGAGCTAGGTACAGTACAAACTGGGATCGGAAAGGTTGACCCGGCTTGGAAATTCAAATGTACCACGGCTCTGCCCGTGTGGTTTAAAAATTCTAACTTGAGGGGGGTTGACTTATATAAAGAAGTTTACAGGCATAGGTGAGTTCCCGATTACTAGTATTAAATATGTTATTCACGGTTACTCTAGCCATTTACCCGCACCTGGTCAAATCTTACCGTTATAAAAGTTGACCCACTCAAATTACAATCTTAAAATCAAGCTAAGAACATTCCCGTGGCTCTCCCGCGTTCCCCAATCAAAAATAGAGGCAAATCGGTCCAGGGGTTCCTGAGTTAAAATCGGACAAACAAACATACCAACAGAGATATGTGTTTCGTGACCCTTCATTTATTAAGAGTTGAATTCTGTCAATTTTCTTCTCTAGTTTTGCTGCATAAATACACAAGAAACTTTTCCATTGAAAATGATCANGGGGGAATATTTTTGAAAAAAAGAAAAGTCAATTTAAATTTTTCAAATAATTATTTGATTATCTTTTTTTTCAGCGGGCAAGTATGGAATGTCTACAGGTAAATCACCTTAATTAAATTTTAATTCTATTATTTTGAAAAATTTATTTAGAATAAACGTAATTACGCGAACAAATGTATTAGATAGAAACTAATTTAGTTTTGTTTCTAGGAAGAGATGTGTTCGAATATTCATCTAAAACTATCTATTTGTTAATATTAAATTCATGTAAATAATGTAAATAAATTATTTTTCTAATGTTGATTTAAAAAATATGGAACAAAAAAGATTGTATCACAATAGGCTGACGCTTTGCGCCTCTGTGCTAGACATGATTTTACCGTTAACTTTTCCGTTTTAAGTCGCCATTCTTCATCGTACATTTAAAAAAATGCTCCCGGATTTTCTTTTGAAAAAATCCAACGATGATAATACTTATTTTCAGGCAAAATTTATCAAATTTGACAATCAATAATAAACCTTCCCAGGGATTGGTTCAGCCGTTTAGAATACAAATATAATTGGGGTTAAAATCGTTTTTAAAAATGATCAAAAATTTCGTTTCGAATCAATCATTTAAACATTCATAAAACGAAAGCGAAAACGATCTTTTTAAACCGATTGTTTTCCAAAAAATGTATTTTTTCCGAAAAAGGTCGTTAACGATCGTTAATGAAGAATTGTCGCTAACAGTTGTCGTTAACTAAAGCTCATCGTTAAAGGTAGTTAACAAAGTGTCGTTTTAAAAACGATCTTTTTTTAAAAAAAAGTGGAAACGATTCATCCCTTAATATATATAGTTAGATATATGCAGAATTGCAGACGATATTACTCAAAGCTTTTTAATGAGAAGAAAATTTTTTTTTTGTTAAATGGCCCAAAATAATTTTTTTTAAGTTCGTGGCATTGTCATGCAACGGTTTTTCGAAAATTTGTAATTCCTTCATGTTTTCAAAAAATCTTCTATACCCATNTTAAAACAAAGAAGAAAAAAATTTTGCGGATTAAAAAAAAAATTCGCGGATTTTCAAGAATTTAATTTTTTTACAAAATTAAAAACCTTTAAAAAACCTTTTTTTAAATTTTTATCATGCATAAACCTTCCCTGTGGTCACGTGATATCCCACAAAAAAATTGGGCCTGATCGGTTCAGCCGTTTTGACGTTTATTGGATACAAACAGACACCCAAACAAACAGACAGAAGGATTACCCCTGAAAGTTCTAACTTCAGTGAGAGATGACTGAAAGCAATTTATTTAGTTTTCCCCTGCAACTATTAACTTGATTTTGTCTTTGTTTAAATCATTAAATATCTCATTAAAAATACAAATCGTTCTAGAGGTCGTCATCATAGTCGCCATTCATTCTGATTAACTCTGTAACCTGTTTATTTCCGCATTGAACTAATTATAATTATGGGAAACTTTGGTTTTTGTTTTATGCTCAAGATATTTAATATGTTAGTTCCCACATTTATTATACTTACAACTACATAATCTGAATTCAAATATTATAATGCATATCACCTTTAAACTCGAGCTATTTATTCATGTTATTTTTTATTTCCTTCCCATGTTTTCTAACTTTCTTCCCATTTTTTCTAATTTCCTTCCCATTTTTTCTAACTTCCTTCCCATTTTTTCTAATTTCCTTCCCATTTTTTCTAATTTCTTTCCCATTTTTTCTAACTTTCTTACCATTTCTTTCCGTATTTCTCTTTTTTCTTATTTCTACCTATTTTTTCCATTTCTTCTAATTTCTTTCCAATCCTTCTCATTTCTTCCCATTACTTCGAAAATCTTCAAATTTCTTCCCACTTTATCCCTTTTTCCCCCATTTTTTCCCATTTTTTTTCTCATTTCTTCATTCCCCCAACATGGTGCGGTGTGAACTGAATGATATCAGTCGAAATATTCTGTAAATCCCCTAAACTATAGGAGACCTAAAACAGGTTTAATTTTATTCATATTTGGTGTGCAGAAAGGAATCTTACATGAACTATAGTGCTCAGTGTGGTTTCAACCATTACAGGGGTGAGGTCTGCCTTGCGTGCAGCAGTGATCGTACTGAGTGAAAAATCGACAAAGGAATTGAGTTTTTGTCACAGACTAAAATTGTCTAATCCCTACATCTTTGCAACCCGTCTGTGTAAACTTTTGATATTTCAAACTCAGCATAGTTGATCCAACGGAATTCTCTAGTTTGAAATATCCAAGATCTACGACATCGGGTTGCAAAGATGTAGGAATTAGAAAATTCCCTTAGACTCAGGTCCTTTCCCTTTTAAGGGACTGTAAATGTGATTTCAAGTGACCCTCAATTTAGAAAGTGGAATGTACAATTCCCATATCCCAATGGTACCTTAAAAACTTTGTCTGGTCAAGTATAAATGAGATATTCATGTTTTTGTTCTTGTGGTTCTCTACAAACGTGACTTACACATTTCTTCCTTCAATAACAGTGAAGAAATTATCAAAATTAAACACTTTTTAAGCCAGAAAACGGTAGAGCTTCATTTGAAGTTATTTAGATAAAATAGATCTGAAAATATTTTAAATAAAAAATATCTTATGACTAAAAAGTATAAAATAGCAAAAACAAAAATCTTTATTTGAAAATAGGGAAAATAGGTTACAAAGTTAAGGCTTAGATATTTTATCAAGATCTTTAGTTTAGAAGCTAAATTCGATGGAAAATGTTAATTTAAAGTAAGGAACTCAGCTTCAGTAGGTGTATGAATGTTTAATAGTTTTGTAAACAAACGCAACCGAAACTGGACTTGAACTGAAACATGAAATTGAACCCAGCATTTAAATTTCACCCCAGTCTATAAGTAAAGTTGCATAATTCGATACATACGGTGTACTTAGTGTACTGGGTATAGTTAACATACGGTGGACTTAGTGTACTGGTTATAGTTAACACACGGTGCACATAGATTCAGCCTCCTTATAAACAGTCTCATCAATTTTTAAGACAGGGCTGACTTTGAAGTGTCGCAACGCCCTAAGCTTAAATTTTACCGCTCTAACTCACTTATGCTTTTCTGTAGCCCTTTACATGTACATTTTAGCACTGTAAAGCACTTGTTGTTAGATGTGGTTTTTTAGAAGTTATTGGCAAAATTCTAAACGATTTTTGCTTGAGAGCGTGAGACCATTAAATCGCAGTGGGTGTACTTAGTGTACTGGTTATAGTTAACATACAGTGTACTTAGTGTACTTATTATAGTTAACATACGGTGTACTTAGTGTACTTGTTATAGTTAACATACGGTGTACTTAGTGTACTTGTTATAGTTAACATACGGTGTACTTAGTGTACTGGTTATAGTTAATATACAGTGTACTTAGTGTACTTATTATAGTTAACATACGGTGGACTTAGTGTACTGGTTATAGTTAACATAAGGTGTACTTGGTGTACTTATTATAGTTAACATACAGTGTACTTAGTGTACTTATTATAGTTAACATACGGTGTACTTAGTGTACTTTTTATAGTTAACATACGGTGTACTTAGTGTACTTATTATAGTTAACATACGGTGTACTTAGTGTACTTATTATAGTTAACATACGGTGTACTTAGTGTACTTTTTATAGTTACAGGATGGTTGCACGTTTAAAATAGGATCGAGGTAAATTCACTTAATATCTTTTAATATTTATCAAAAACATTTCATGTCAAAACTGGAAACTTTTTGTTTCGACCTAATTAGATTAAATGTAAACAGACCGTTTTTATCTTTTTATCGGTCCATCTATGGGTTTATCTAGTTTAATCTGGATTCTGGAACCTTCCTTCAATTATGTCAGGTCACGTGCCCCCTGACCTATGTTATTCCAATCTTTGTCTCAGTCAAGGAGAATGGAAAAGAAGGAGGGGGCGATAGGGTTTCCGTACACTTTGCTGTGACGTTTTTGGACTGCTGAAGAACTATTTGCGTATCAACAATAATAAAGATTGTAAACAATAACACAAATAATAAACAGATATCTGGCGCATCTCTGGCGTTAGATGAAGATTCACAGTATACTAACTCATGTTTGTTTACATTAGATCAGCTGCCTTTATTATTGTTGTTACGCAAAAAGTAGTTCTTCAGCAGTCCAAAAACATCACAGCAAAGTGTACGGAAACCCTATCGCCCCCTCCTTGTATTCAATTCTCCTTTGTCTCAGTTAACATCTTTTATCTTTATTCCATGCATCAATTAATATACTAGGCAGTAGGTCAAAATATTCGAATGTGAGCTCGTAGCTTCTTAAGCTTTGAAATAAGCACTAAGCACTAATATATGAGAAAAGCAAATTACTTATTATACACTTTTGCTCTTCTAGAAAAGAGAAGATAAGATTTTAAGACTTTAATCTAACGTGAAAGGAGTTGAGTTTTTGCCACAAACTCAAACCTTCTGATCCCAATATCTTTGCAACCTGAAGGTGCAAACCTTTGATATTTCAAACTTAGATTATTTTATCTATGAGTATTAATAGTTTGAAATATCTAAGGTCTACGACATTGGGTTACAAAGATATAGAAATTAGAAAATCAGAGTTGTGGCAAAAACTCCTTTGCCTTAGTTTGCTGTGTAATATTGAATATTAAACATGACTGGGGTTTTCACATTGACTTACATGGATAATCCTTTACAGTCCCTTTAATATACCCCCTTTCATTTTTCCTTTACAGTCTCTTTAATATACCCCCTTTCATTTTTCCTTTACAGTCCCTTTAATATACCCCTTTCATTTTTCCTTTACAGTCCCTTTAATATACCCCCTTTCATTTTTCCTTTACAGTCCCTTTAAACCTGCAAAAAGTAGTTGTTTCAAAGGGCTGTTTATAATTGTTAATTAAAGTTACCCCCACGGACCCTCTATTTTTGATCAAAAAATGCATAAATTGCGAAAGATTTTATTGGATAGAAATGAAATATCACCATTCTATTTAAATTAATCTAAAAGTTGAAAAACCTGTTCAGAAATTTGACTAAACATGGTTTTTATATTTTATGGTGTTCGAAAATTCGTGAAAAAAACGAGAAAAAAATTGAGAATGAAATTTTCGAAAAATTTAATTTAAAAATGTTAAAATTCTAGAAATTTCTTGATTGAAACGAAAAAAAAATATGTTAAGCTTTACATGCATTTATATTTCAAAGTTTTAAAATGATAGGATGAAAAAATAGTTTGAAAATAATAAGTTGAAAAAATAGTTTTAAAAGAAGCAAAACGTCTTGAAACGTTGAGAATTTTTTTTTAATCCCGTATTCTAATCAAGAATTTTTTTTAAATTTAAATTTAAAGGAATTGAGTCTTTGCCACAAACTCTGATTTTTAAATCCCAATATCTTAACAACCCAATGTTGTAAGACCTAAGAGATATTTCAAACTATGACTTCTGTTATATCAAACAATCAAAGTTTGAAATATCAAAGGTTTACATAATTTGGTTGTAGATATATAGGTATTAGAAAATTGGGATTTATTGCAAAGACTCAATTCCTTTGCGAGAATTTTCAAACTTCATCCACCATTCAGTATAGACTATAGACGAGGGTGTGCATTGTTAAAAAAAAAAAACTATTAAAACGTGACTATGTGTACTGTCCCAACAAGACTGTACTACTTTTTAAAAAATAGACTTGCAAATTAAAACTAGAGTGTCATGTGCCAAGTCATGCCAACCGAAAAAATTTTGTCTCAATTTTTTGAGACAGTCTGTTAAATGCATTGTATTGTAGATTGTAGAATTGATCAACAGTAGTTGAGTGTCAAGCTGTCGCTATGGAACCAATTTTTTTTCAATCTGATAACATTTAGAAACTCATGTTTAATAACGTTTTATATCTTGTTGCTTAGAAATTATTTTTACAGGGGACATTGTCAAACTGACAAACTTAATTAAAAGATTAAGTTAATAAGAATTTTCTTAGTTGAAATAAAAAAATTCTTATTTTAAATGTGATTTTCTAATTTATTTTGCTTTTGCAACGCTTCCTTACAAGGATTTTCGAATCATTGTGCTAATAAATCATTAGAGGCCCAAATCATTATAGAAGGAGTAAGATGGTGAAATTTAAAAATACAATATGCATAGTGTTTGTATCTAATAAACGTCAAAACGGCTGAACCGATATGGCCCACATTTTGTGTGGGACCTCACATGACCGCAGGAAAGCTTTATGGATGAACAATCTATAAAATTAGCCTCCAAAAAAAAATCGATTTTTATCAAATTTTGGAAATCCACGACATTTTATTTAATACGCGAACTTTCTTTAATTGTTTTACTATGTATAGAAAGAGATAATTTTCACAATTGAAATTGAATAAAGTCTAGTTTGAATATATTTTGCTAATAGGCGTCAATAAAGATGAATCTATGCATTCTTCATAAATTCTTTAAAATTAAAAGATTTTGCAACATTTTTTTCTTTTTACTGCTTTGTTATGAAACAGCTTAAATCTGATGTAAATTATTTTTCAAATTATATCATTTTTAATAAACTTGATTTTGTTAAACATATTTGATGTCGATTTAGCGTTTTTGATGATTATTGGACACAAACAAACAAACAAGCAGACATGACACCCAGACAAGTCAAATTCGAATAAAGATGTCACTGTTTTGTTAGAATCAAATGAAACATCCCACATCAAACTAGAGTAAATGTCACGTAAGATTCAATTTAAGAGTTATAAACAAACGCAAAATATTTTTAAGTTGTGAATCCAGTGTCCGAATTTAATGAATTTAAGCCGCGTCTCATATCCCCCAAAAACCGGTTTCAATTGAGCGCCAGCTTAAATCCTTGAAAAATTCAATACAATTTTATATAAGCATGGAACCAACCATATTTGAGCCGCGGCTTAAATTTAAGCCGCGGCTCAAACTCTTTAAATTCGATAAAGGAAAAAT